TTCTGCATCATTCAATAATTTGCCCAGAGAATCTTTCAATAATGAAAGTTGAGGCTTGAATTTTTACTTCAGTTCCCCCAGCTTGAGAAATGCTGACCGTGTTCTTCCTTTGTGGTTTTCTAATTCCAAATCTTTGCACATTTTATTATAGTATTTGGTTTTATCTTCTCGAGCTGATCTTTGAAATTTTCTGTTCAGCTGTTGGACCTCTTGGACCCTCTGCCATAGAGGGTCACTATGAGTTGGCATAGACTTGACGGCAGTGAGTTATAATTATGTTTAAAGTTTGTTGTTGTTGCTAAATGCTTTCTAGTTCGTTCTGACTCATAATGACCCTATAAAGTTTTTCTGAGGCTTTTCAAATCTTTGGGGAAGCAGAAAGCCTCACTTTTCTCCCTTGGAGCAGCTAGTGGGCTCCAACTACAGACCTTATGTTTTGCAGTCCAGTGCTTATCGTTTGGAGCCCCAGTGCTCCTACTTGAAGTGAGATATTATTGAAAGGCTTAACCATTTGATATTCTTTATGCCTACTGACTAATTTTCATTGGTATTATAAGTCATTTCGGTCTCTGTTATTCCTGACTGAGTCTGTCCCAGGTGATGCTTAAGCAGTGCTGTGTTAGCCAGTCAGTCAAAGGTAACTTGTTGAACACCTGCCTTTTGACCAACATTGTTTTCAAGGACAAAGAGTCAACCTTGTTGAGACCGTGTGCTTACCTGCTCTGTATTGCTTCAGAAGTACTAGCAGGATGAACCCTCTGCTAAAAAAAGCATCTCCTTCCTAATGCATATTCAATCAGTAGTTGTCGTCTTCAATTCCACTATTAGAGATTCATTAGCAACCATCTTTTCCTAAAATGGAATTCCAGTCTGAAGCTGGTTGGAAATTTCCAGGGTAAAAAAGTTTTTCGTTTTTTTAATGTCTACATTCTTTTTAACCCAGTTATTTCATTCCCAAGGTCCCTGGCTGGTACAAAGGGTTTGTCCTTGTCCTGGTGTGGTGCTGTGGGCTAATGCGCTGGACTGCAAGATCAGTTTGAGCCGCGAGGTCGGCAGTCCAAGCTCACTAGCTGCTCCTTGGAAACCCTATACAGGGTCACTATGAGTCAGAAACGACTCAACAGCACTTAAAAACAACAACTTATGTAAAGATTGGTGGTTCTAACCCACCACGTAGTGCTACACAAGAAAGAAACTTCCATAAAGTTTGTTGTTGTTGTTGTGAAGTGCCAGCGCGTCGGTTCCAATTCATAGACACCCTGTACAGACTAGGAGCAGCTGGTGGGTTAGAATCGTCGATCTAGCAGCGCAAACGGACCTTGAGGTCCAGCGCATTATCCTGCAGTGCCACGCCAGGACAAGGACACTCCGTGAAGTAGTTCTCCTCTCGAACACACACGGTTGCCAGGACTCAGAATTGACTGATGGCAGCAAGTTTGGTTTTTCATTTTATTTCCTTTCCAACCCAAAAAATATAGTCTTAAATTCAAAGATTTATGCATAAAGATGTTCATTGTGGTATTATTTATAATGTTGTCGTTGTGAAGTGCCATTGAGTCGATAGCGACCCTGCATAGGGTTTCCACGGAGCAGCTGGTGAGCTTGAACCACTGACCTTGCAGTTCAAATGGCTTTGCAGTCTGACGCATTAACCCATAGCACCACATCAGGACTCCATTATTTATAATAACAATCCCAAAACAATGATAGGGAAATGATTAAGTGAATTATGATATATTCTTGAGCTGGAACAAGGAGCTCTGGTGGTGCTGTGGGTTAGGCACTGGGCTGCTAATCTTAGGATTGGTGGTTCAAACCCTTCAGTCACTCCACAGGAGAAAGATGAGTCTGTTTGCTCCTATAAAGTGTTATAATCTCAGAAACCATATAGAGGGTTGCTCTGAGTTGGAATTGATTTGATGGCTGTGGGTTTGTGGTTTTTGTTTTAGTCTGAGCCCTTTCCAACTCATAGTGACCCTGTGCACAACAGAATGAAACACAGCATCATCCTCACAACTAATATATATAAGCCCATTGGTGCCCCCACTGTGTCAATCCATACCACTGAGGGTCTTCTTCTTTTTTGCTGACCCTTCACTTTAGCAAATATGATGTCCTTTCTTAGGAACTGGTCCTTCCTGATAATGTGTCCAAATTATGTAAGATGAAGTCTCACCATTCTCCCTTCTAAGGAGCACTCTGACTACACTTCTTCCAAGACAGATTTGTTTGTTCTTCTGGCAGTCCGTGGTACTTTCAATATTCTTCATCAACATCATTATTCAAATGCATCAATTCTTTTCTAGCCTTACTTATTCACTGTCCAACTTTCACATGCATATGAGGTGATTGAAAATAAAATAAATAGCATGGCTTGGGTCAGGGGTGCCTTAGTTGTCAAAGTGACATCTTTGCTCTTTAATACTTCAGAGTGGTCTTTTGCAGAAGATTTGCTGTTTGATTTATTGACTGCTGCTTCCATGGGCGTTGATTATGGAACCAAGTAAAATGAAATCCTTGACATTTATCATGATGGTGTTAGTTTAGTTGTGAAGATTTTGTTGTTTTTTACAGTGAGCTGTAATCCATACTGAAGGCTGTAATCTTTGTAAGTGCTTCGCGTCCTCTTTGCTTTCAGCAAGCAAAGTTGTGTCATCTATATATTGGTTAATAATCCCTCTAATGATGAAGTCTCTGGTTCATACTGACCCCACAGGAAAGAGTAGAATTGCTCTAGTGTTTCCGAGGCTGTAAATCTTTATGGGAGCAGACAGCCTCATCTTTCTCTCCCTGAATGACTGAAGGTTTCAAACTGATGACCTTGTGGTTAACAGCCCCACATTTAACCCATTATGCTCCTAAAGTCTCTGTAGCCAATCACACACAATTAGAAATATGTCACAAGCTGATCTCATAGACTCTATCTCATTACAGAAAATATATTTGTGTTTGTTTTCTGAGGAGCTCTTAGCATGCATCTCTCTGTACTATATTTTAGGCATTGGCAATGCTGATTTCCATTTTTGTCCTCCTGAGATGATTAAGTACAAATGTTTACATGAATGCACTGAACTTAAAACCTAACTGTGCCCAGTGCAGGATGAGCCAAGGTTATGGGAGATTGCAAGACCTGACAGGGGAGCTTGGCTAGCAGACAAAAAGTTGTTTCCAAATGTAATGATTACAAAAAATAAATAAATAAAGAGCAGGAAAGAGTGGGTGGACTTAGAACACAGGTGAAGAAGATAGCTGGAAAATGAGAATTCTGAGTCTTGAACCCTGAGTGACCCTCAGACACATCTGGGAAACAGAGGAAAATAAAGATCCCTGGCCCTGGTATTATATAATTCAGATTCAACTGTGTAGACTGGGCCTCCAAAAAGTGGATTTGTAGAAGGTTCCTCTATGCCTGTAAGTACTGGAGTCAGGTGGCAACGCACCAACACCATCTGTTTCTCCACTTTTATTGGAAACATTCACAAGAGAAGATCACACCACTCTTTCGACAAGCCTTCCCGTGGGAGACGTGATACTGTGTGAGTTTTCATTTTACACACTAGCGTTGAGTTTTGCAGAGTGTGAGAAACTATCTTGGTCAGATTTGTTTGGGTGACTATGGGAATGGTGGGATTCTCACTCGGACACTTTTTTATCTTAAAAAAGAACATTAATTATGACCTTCCTGCAATTGTCTTCTTTGGAAATGTCTGTGGGTTGGGCTAAGAGAAGTCTAGGACGCTGGACTGTGGCCACTGGAGCTGTCCGTGGTGCTGAACACGATCGCGCGCCGCTGTTCACGCTTCCTTACAGAAAGGCCTCTCAAGCTGTTCTCCAGTCCCATTTCCTTCCTGCTCTCGCCTCCATTTCTCCTGCTCTCCAGTGACAGCGCTGCGAGGGCGCATTTCGCTCGCGTTCAGGGCCGCAGACGAGCTTGCGCTGGCCTTCCTCCTCTTCTCTTCCCCGGCGGCGGCTAGTGGGCGGGGCTCCCCCAGGCGGGACGCAGGCGGGACCCTTGCCCCGCCACAGCCCGGCACCCCCTCCCCGGCCCTGCTCCTCCCCCTCCTCGGCCCGCCCCGCGCCGCGGCCCCCAATCCCGGGCGCCGAGGGGAGAGGGGGCGACGCGGACACGGCGCGGCGGGCGGAGGGAAAGGCGCGGCATGGACGCCGAGGACCCGGCCTTCGAGCCCCGGCTCTGCGGGCAGCTCAAGCTCCTGTGCCGGCGGCTGCAGGAGGCGTACCGCGAGCTGCGCGAGGACCTCACGCCCTTCAAGGATGACCGCTACTACAGGTGCCGCTCGGCCCGCGGCGGCGGGGGTGATGGGGCACTGTTGGGGCGCGCGCGGCGGAGGCGATGGGAGCGCGGTGGGGGCGTTGTCGGGGTACACGCGGCGGGGGCGCTACCGGGGGTGCCTGCGGAGGGGTGGTGGGAGCGCGGGGGTGCATGCGGGGGTGCGGGAGCGGCGAGTGTGCACGCGGTCGGGGCGCTGCCGGGGTGCGCGCAGTGAGGGTGGTGCCGGGCTGCGCGCGGTTGGGGTGATGGGGGCGCCAACCGTCCCTGCTTCCCCCACCCCTGGATGGAATGTAGAGGGGCAGGCCGCCCGGCTTGACTGCAGCGGCTCCTTGCCGGCTTTAGGGCCGGTCCAGGGAGCATCGTGAAGAGCCCTTTTCCTTTCCCGGAACCTGAGGAAGGGACCTTGGGGTTTAGTCCTGGCTTTGCCTCTCCCTGTCTTCCATCTCATCCTCCGGCTTCTCCCTCCGCTTCCCTCTCCCACTATGGCAGCTCAGGCCTGGCCGATCCCTCGTATGGGGAGACGATCCCCCAGCTCCGAACGTCCAGGGGAGAGCGAGGACCGTGATTCTGCCGAGTCCCCCGACTCTGGGCCCTGGGCTTTCGGAGGAAGCTCTGAGGCAAGGGTGCTGTTGAGTGATGAGGACAGTTTGTCTGGG